ATGAAGATGAGAATTAAGACATATGTTCATGTCCCAAAATGAAAATCCAATTCAACCTATAGACATGAGACTGGAAAACAACTAATCCAGTGAGAATAGGAACTCTAACTTGCTTCCACAAACATATTTGCACACGGGCGACAATCGTGAGTTTCTTTTTGCCATGTAGATTGGCCAAAACCACAACCATGGATTATCACAGAGTTTTCCTAGTAAGAGAGTTACAGAATGCTTAAGTTTGCTTCACTCTGGATCAACAACAAAGTCAATAGCATGAAGAAATACTAAGTTAATACCGTTTCTTTCCATTCCGAGTAACCATCATGCGATTGACCGCCCATCCTAGTCCATCTACATCTGTATCCATTATCACCAAGATCCTCCCCACTTTCCCGATACCAAGTACTGCCATCTTCATTCGTGCCTGACTCACTAACATTTTCGTTCACCAAATTGATCCCCCAGTCCTTCTCATTTGCAATACCAGTGTCTGCAGCAGATCAGTTGTGTCTAATACTCAGTAAAGATCATTAATCAAACATAAAGAAAAACAGCAATTTCATCTGATGATACACAAAGATTCTTTTACACTACCTGGGCTAGCCAAGAAATTCCCATAAAGCAATTTAGATTACCTCTTTTTGGCGGAGTATCACGTGACTGTGGACCAGAGCCCCTTGGAGTGCAGCGAGGATAAAATTTTTCTGGCTTGGAAATAAACCGAGATCTGTATAAACAAGAAGATCAAGCAACCCCATGAGGGAATACACATTCCAAAGCCATATAAACTTGCGTAAATCTTGGTCATTAACTTAAACTATTATCCCCATGATTCCAAATCATACAGAGTGAGCGTCCTTCATCGTTATGCCTAGCTAGAAGAGGTACGAATTAGTCACTCCTTTCACAATTTTCGAACTATTAGATGAACTGTTTGAACCTAATTAATCAAATTGCATCGCACAAAAAAGGGTAAAAGAGAGCAACACAAGAACAAGACAATAGATCATAAAAGTTGGGATTTCCAGTACAAAGCTTCAGCTTACTGAGGGGAGGCAAAGGGCATTGCGGGAGTGGCTTGGATACGGAGTCTACGAGGGGATTTTTTGGGATTGAAACGCCAATCTTCTTGCTTCTCAACGCTCTTCCCAGACCCAGCAGTTCTGCGTATTGGAACCAAAGAATCAGAGCAGCAGCAAGTAATAGGACAAAACCCAACTCGATTACTCTCAAACAAAATCCTCCTCCATCTCCGCCGCCGTAGGTCTGGCCCGCCATGGGTAGGCGAACGAAAAATCTCGACCCGCCGGTCGAAATCGACGTGGGTCGAAAATCCTCTGCAACAGGCGGCCATTGCTTACAAGAATTCCATGAGCAAGCGCTCAAGCCGCAACAGTGGGAGAGGAAATGTGGGAATGCGAAGGAATACGTGGAAATTCAAGAGAAGAGAGAAGTTGGGAAGAATGTGATGCGGAGAGGCATTTGAAAAATGGGAGAGGCGGAGAGAGAGGAGGAGAGAAATTGAGGGGGCGGAGTTATCAGATCGGAGGTGGTTCGGCGAAGGGGGAGGAAATTCGGAGATTTAATCAAACACGTGAGCAGGGGGAAAAGGGTCCCACAAATGGTGATTATGCATCCGGAATTTCCAACTCGACATTCCACGTGGCACAAACTGAGCCGTCACTTCTGTTACTGCTGACTAAGCTTCTACTCACAAATGGGAAATTTAGATCCAATTACCCAAATAGCATATGGTAGTTATTTTATTAAATAAATAATTTTAAAATTTATATATACCTTTAAAATATTCACTCCATCATTATCAACTCAAATCATTAATTTTTTTTCCAATTTAATTTGGATTAATTTTTTAAAAAATAAAAAATTTTAGTTCGATTTAAGTTGAATAGTTCGAGTTGGTCGAATTATCCGCTTGCAGGTTGACATTTTTATGGTCGAGTCAACCTGAAAATAGTATGACAACCCAACTCTACCTAACTGCAAAACTGAGAATATTTAACTCATTGTTTTTTTAAAATATTTGATATTTTAATTTAATGAGATTTTAGTTATTAACCTGAGATAACTAATATTTTTTAATTAAAAAAACAACCCGACAACCAATTTAAAATTTTGAGTTGGTCCCAAAGATTTTTTCAACCCAACCAACCTGTACATGTTCGCCACTAAGTCAGTGTCTTGTACTTTAAATTTAATTCATTTTGATTCATGTACTTTAAAATGTTGATTTTCACGGATCGCTTTGGTCCTTTAATTTCATTTTTATTGAAATTTTAACATTACACTCCACTCACTATTTAGCCATAAATGTTCGTGTATTAAACGTAAATGGTCCTTTATAATGACTATAAATTTGTGTTTGTTAAAGCATACTTTTAACTAGTTGAGTCGAGATGTTAACCCTACAACCACATGGTGGTTTGCTTAAAAAAATGTATAAGAAATTCATATTTTATGGGTAATTTAATTTAAAATTGGTTAAATTAGGAGTTTAGTGTCTACACTTTTTATCTATTTAGTTTCTAAACGGCGAGATCTCAGGTCAGTTGGAGAGGGGAACGAAACATTTTTTATGAGGGTGTGAAAACCTCTCCTTAGTAAACACGTTTTAAAACTTTGAGAAAAAGCCCGGGAGGAAAAGTGCAAAGAGATATGTGCTAGTTGTGGGCTTAAGTCATTACAAACGGTATTATAGCCAGACCCTAAGCAGTGTGTACAAGGACACTGGATCTCCAAGAGGAGGTGGATTACCGAACTCTGTCTTTTTTTTTTTTTATTCAATAGATACTTGAAATTTAAATTTTATATCAAATAGATCCTTAAACTATTCCATGTTTTCTTAAAATTCACTAACCTATTAAATACTAAATTAAAAGTTAAAACTTAATTTTTTTAATTTTTTTTTTTAAATATGTTAAGGATTCATAAATTTATTTTTTTAAACATTTTAAAAAAAATTTAATTACCTTTAGACCATTTTAAAAGCTAAAAAGACTCAACTAATAATTTATTCTTTTAAATTTCATATTTTGGGACTATTAACTCTAAATGAGCTTTGTTATTGTTTCATCTATTTTTGTTCATGTTTTTCTTTTTAATTATATAACTTTTAGTTTAATTTGTTGGTGTTTTATTAATTTCTAATATTTATTCACATGATTAATTAAAGAATTTCTAGAAAGAACCGAACTGGTTTGTCATTTTTAAAGTTTTGGGACTTATTAACATAATAAATAAAAGTTCGAGGGCCAAGCTAACATTGACCCAAAGTTTATTCACGAATCACACTAATTGTCATAACTTTTGACGTTATAATTTTTCTAAAAAAAATTCATTTATATTCCTAAGCTTCGGAGACTGTATCAATTTAAATCCTAAATTTCATGAATTAATCCATTTGAACCACTAGTTAATGTAATGATTTATAGCTACTTGATTTCATTTAAAATTAAGTGAGAATTAATTTTTTATTTTGAGTTTAGTGCAGATTGGAAGTTGAGTAATATACAAATATTGGCATAATTGATTGGTTACTTCGCACTAAAAGATTATAATTAATTGAATCCATTTTATTATACTAATTAGTTGGATTTAACTATTAATGATTAATAACAACCCATTATTTCATATTAATATCAATCACTACTTACCAATAATTGTCCTTTTTCACATTAAATTATCACCTACATTGTTCAAATTAAAATAAATATATAAGTTTTAAACCAAAGTTTAAAAAGAAGTATTCTTTCTATGAAAATAAAAAAGAAGTTAAAAAAAAAATAAAAATACTCTTAATTCTTTAAAAAAAAAAAAAATCCTAAAAATAGCTGCTTAACAAAAACTTTTAAATGCTTAAAAATATTTTTTTGGGAGTCAGTATTCTTTAAATATTTTTTAAAGTTTAAATGTACAAATTATTAACGGTTTCTATTTAAAATTGTAATCCCGAACCGACCCGACGCCCCAAAATAAACTTTTTTAAAGACAGCAAAATCTCAGGATTTTCTTTGCTGGCGATGACGTGGAACATGGCTGCATAATGGGAGAAGGGAAAAAAAATAATAATAAGTAATAATCATAAGTGGATGGGAATGGGAATCTTGTTGGAAAGCAAAAGCTTCCAACTCATCAAGTTTCGTCAAATCTTATCCACCTTTTTAGCCTTTCCCTTCTTTGCACTAGGCTTCGACACGTGTCAACCTCAATCTAGGGTGACATGGCAAGATTCTGATTGACAAAGGCACCTCAATGTTTGTGGATAAAATGGAAAACTACATCCAACGTGGCAAAAGTACACGTGGTTAGCGAAAGTTCCACTCACATTTTCAATTCAAACAAATACCATAGAATAAGTAAGTGGAGAGGGGAAACTTGGTGTACAGACCTGTGCTATTGAACGAGGAAACCAGAGGTTTCACCGCCGCTCCTGTCATGGACTTTTTTCTTCTCTCTCATCCAAGTGTATTGGATAACCATCAAAACTCCAATCATTATTCATCCACACCTGCAAGTTAGGGCTCAAACGCGTCCGTTATAAGAAGTTTCCACATCCTTATAAAGAATGTTTCGTTCTCCTCCTCCAACGGATCTCACAATCCACTCCTTTCAGAGCCCAACATCCTCGCTGGCACACCACCTCATGTTCGCCCCCTTCGAGACTTAGCCTCCTACTGACCCATCGCCCGGTGTATGACTTTGATACCATTTATAATGGTACAAACTCACTGCTAGCACATATTATCCTCTTTAGATTTTCCCTTCTAAGCTTCTCCTCAAAATTATTAAAAAGCATTTGCTAGGGAGAAAGTTTCCACGCCCTTACAATCTCACAAATAGACCATCATTACCAAACCTTTTCTTTCTTTCTTCAAGGCAATAATTTTCAGTGAGTGGCGATCAGAAGGTTGGCTATTGTTCTTGTTTCCCAGCTGTGCCCAACTTCCAACTTCCAAGTACCAAATAACATAGGCATCCAAAGCAAGAGGAAATCGAAGTATATATAACATTATTTTTCTTTTCTGGTTGAAAGTTTAAGCTATATGAACTAGTTGTAGAGCAAGTTCAACACAACAAAACAACGAATCATATTGTTCATAACAGCTATGCCCATCTTCAGTACAATAAAATTACTCCCCGAGTAGTGTGTATGTTTCCTCTGTTACTGGATAAGTCGTCGAGCATCGAGCAATCTCAATCTCAATCTCATCGATAGCGTTGTAAAGACGAGTGGGGTTTTCTTGGAACTAAAGTCAGGAACAATTACTCTTGCTTGTGGAACAGAGACAAACTGAGGAAGCAATGAATATTGAGAAACAAAAACTAAAATGAACTCCATTATCTTGAGAGAAAAGGCTTCACTGATTCCACAACGACCTGTTTCACAAGAAAAAGAAATAATTGAACTGTCATTCTGTAAGATTGTAAAAATGGTTTGGTTTACAGAAACGGATATCGGCCATAAATGTTGGGAGAAGATCGAATGAGTAATGAGCTTCTGTAAACGATGAACCGACTTTGTGTAACAACTTAATCGAGATTTATTTAAAATATAAAACCTCAATTAAAGCAAGCAGAAAAATAGTAAAACGATATTAGATGGCATGATAATCCATGCAGCATATAGCCATGATCTATTGACAGTAAAAAGAAGCTGAAATGCAATGTCAAAGCACATGTCCGGCGACTCTTCGAGAAAAGGTTGATGCTACTTACCCTCCCATCATAGGACAGTGATGCAAAGATCCAAGGTTCACGAGAGCTCCAAGCAAGGCCTTTTAATTTGAAGTTAAAATCACCCAATCAGTTTTACCCACTGGATAAATATATTGAAATAATAAGGCTACAGCTGTTACCATAAACACTGTCTTCGTAGTCACTGTAAGAATGCAGTAATGGATCAACTGGACATCGTGGTGAATCAATCGTCCTGCTCATAGGTTAATATGAAGCATTAGCATAATCTTTAAAGAGAAACAGAAAAAAGGAACATCCTAAACAAAAAGATGACCTTTCAGATTTGAGTTCACCATCAGTCATGGATGCTAACCATAAGTTGACAGCCGAATCAGTACCGGCACTCTGCAATCGCCGACATTGTGTCATTGACTCAAAGATACATCGAAAAAATGAACGAGCTTGTACTAAAAAATTATTTCACTAGCTAATTAACTAAGGAATTTGATTGTCATACAATTAGTCTAGAACTTTATATGAAATTTAGAATTAAAAAAAAAAAAAAAAACGGCCCCAGACTTCACAAAGGAAACTGACACCTTCAAATTGGAAACAAGTATGGAAGAGAAGTATATAATGCAATCTAACAAACATGGACCGAACAGTAAAATGGATCAGAAAAAATAACTATATCAAGAAATGGAGAGGAGAAAACGAGAGCGAACCAAGATTAGCCCTTCAAATTCAGGATTACAACGAACAGCACATGTCCTGTTGAATTATTAAATACAAAGGATCAAAGTTAAAACATTTAACTTGACCCCAGAACAGAATTTACAGTTCAATAAATGTTCTAGGAAAACATGGACTATTTAAAAAGATACCAGTGGGTATGCCCAGGAAGTTGTTGGATCGGGACTTTTGGCTTTCTAAGGTCCCAGATAGATATTCCAGTTTCATCCTCAGCAGTTACCTGATACAAGGGAGTTTTATTAATGCAAACATGGAAAACAAATACAAGAAATGCTGTGTAAACACTAGATTGAGAGATAGAAGAACGAAACAGTCTGTCATTCTTATGAACTTGTAAAAGGATTCCTCCTTTTCACATTTCATTCATTGCCATAGTGATTATAACTTGTTTCCCACCTCTTAAGGTTGAACTTGCGTTTAATGGACTGAGCCATCACTAGTCAAAATAAAGCTCAAATAGTCTATAGTAAAGGTCCGGAGAAGTGATGGATAATGACTAAACTCATAGAATGCAAGTGAAACATCAGACATGATAAGTTACATAGGTTAAGACAAGCAAAGGATGTTCAGGAAAGAAGCAAATGTTAGAAAACATCTAGATAGTTGTGATTATATGCCACCAAAATGACAGGCATTCAGTGCGGATAGGACAAGTAAAGATGTTTTACTGATAGAAATTGTTACAACTTACAGATTAACCATTCAATAGGTCTGTACGCTGTTCCCACAAGAAAATAAGGGTCTATACTCTATCTGGACTACTCTCACAATATTAGGTTTCAAGAAGAGACAGAGACAGAGAGCGAGAGAGAGTTCTCACAATTTTCGCACTCTCCTGGGTCTCACAAATGTCAGATACTGACTTCTAACTAAGCCAATTAACATTGGCAACTCTAACTTGCTAAATTGACCCCAACAATAACAGTGAAATTCAGCAAGTCACAACCCAAAGTTTTCTTTACTTTCTAGCATATGAAGGCACACCTTAGGCTTAGTGAGTCCATCGCAATACTTGTTCCATCGCAATACTTGATAACAACATTCTAGTTACGGCTCTGTTTGCTAGTGACATGAGGTTAATGATTCTAGTATAATTTTTTTACAAGAGCCTTTTCAATTTGCATTCACTAATACATAGAAGAGATTTCAAATTTGATGCTCTTGAAAAAAGCCGAAATAAATATTAATCCTTTAAAAACAAAGCCTTACAAGCAAATGTTTCTTTTTGGGGTTGTAATCCACGTTGCGAACATACGCAGAGCATGCAATCGAGTCTGACTTCCTGCAATTAACTTCTCATAAGCCAATTCAAACTTTATCAATCTATTTTTTTAAAAACCAAGCTTTGATTAAGATATATGAAATATATATATATATATATATATATATATATATAACGGCATACAATACAAATCCACCAACAAAAGACCCCCTTCCCCCCACAACTAATTACAGAAACGGAGCCCAATCCAAAAAAAAAAAAAAGCCAAGTTGATCATTACGAAAACCCTATTAACGAATGCCCACACAGATGTATTTAAATTGCCTCCCAAAGCTCCTCATTTGAGACTCTCTATTACGCACCAAAACCCTACTGAATGCATCCTCTTATTTGAAAAATGATAAAGATATGGAAACAAAGCACACAAGGGTCTCTCATCCACCCAAGAATCTTCCAAAAAATAGGTAATTGAATTATCCCCAATAAAAAACTTGACAAATTGAGAAAACAAAGGAAAACCTCTCCACCCTCCTCACATTCCCACAAAAAATTCTCATTAACCTTTCACGTTTTTACTTACCAAGACAGGCATCCTAAAAATGGGCAGATAGTATATGGGGATTGAATCAAGGTACAAAACTTATCAATAAACAAAATCTATGAACTTATAAAATAAATTATTGACAAACTAACAAATTTTAATATAAAAGGAAGAAGAGACTGAAATTCCTTTTTCTTCAACTCATGGAGGGGGGGGGGGGGGTTACAATTAATGAAGCACATTTCATTTCTTCTCATCACATTGAAACATATAAAAATATCCCCCCTAATATTCGGGTACACAAGAAGCTCATGTACCAAGATAAGCACAAATAGATTGAAAACACATACACAGTACATGCATCCTCCGTAAAAAACATAAAGCATAAACGATAACATACTTCATTGTCCTTAAATCCCAAAATTGAACGGATGATTCACTAGTTGCTGCAATGGCATTTGAATCATGTGGATCCCACGTTCCTCCAGACAAATAATGAAGCAGCCCAGCTGACTCCTTCGATTGTACCTAGATTGTAGTAAGCCCCAAATAAAATCATCATATAGACTTGAAATAAATTGCTACTATCTAGTTGATATGACAAATGAAGTACACATTATTACAACCTTTATTATATTAACTTTCATACGACAAACTCTTTCAATGGCATGAGAGAAACCAAAGGATACTTAAAGAGAAGCTCTTAGTCAATTTCATGGTGTATATTGCATTATAAGAGTCAATTTCATGGAGTTCTTTAACCAGTCTTCTTTACAATTATAATTCCCTTATGATATACCCCAATTGCAAAAAGTAAAAAACAAAAATCTGCAAATCTTTTGGTGTTTTAAGATTGATTCCTTAACTTAGCTTTTCTTGATTAATGAATTCTCTCTTATCTAAGAAACTTATAGTTCTGAACCTTAACCTACCCGTGCATATACTACAACGGGGTACAAAAGGGAAAACTGCTCAACATAGGATCCAATCATCACACCACACAATTTCTATTTAAATCTACCTGGGCAATCTTTCTTGAACAATCCAAGCTCCATAGTAAAATATTTTCCTCGTCAATGCTGATCAGCTTATCATGTCTTCCAGATGGCCACCAAAGAACGCTGTCCAGCCATCTTTGTTAGGAAACAGAACCCAAATTTGGGAGTGCATAAATTGAATTACCATAGGAAACAAGTTCATATGGGTTTAGCAATAGCAAATAAGTGAAAAGAAAAGAAAAAAATTTCAGTAAAATTCAGAGAAACGTTTGAAGGTTAAAATATCAAAGAGAATTACATTTCAATGAGCATAAATCTTACTCGAATTAATTATTAGAAGTAGAAATAAAACATTGATATCTTCTGCATTTACAAAATATGAAATTCAGATAGGCCAAATGCAGTTGGACAGAATAACAACCAAGAAAAAGAATTGCATCCAACTATCACTCACCAATTGATCTTACTAGCATGTTCATCAAGGGATGTAACCCGTTCCAACTGAGGAGAATTCAATTCACCATATAACTCAGGGATTTGCCATATTGCTGCCCCAAAGTTTTCACCTTAAGAAAATGGAAGAGAATCAATTCAAAGAAAAGTGGAAGCAAGAATTTGGAAGAATACGTAACAAAAGAATGAATCCCCGCACAACTGTGGTTGAGATGCGATGTATAAGGAGAATGAAAACATGTGAATAGCAGACATGACGGAAAAACTAGAACAGGACGTTTTCTATCTGAAAGTTATTCGACAATCCCCACGTTCTGTAAACAGAGAAGTTCTATGCTAAATGCTTAAACTCCCTCGCCTAATTCCATCAGCTACTTCCCAGTTCAACTAAAAGTGGGGATGCATAGTCAACGTGGCAACTTATGAGAATGCGGTATAGAAAACAACGCACGGGAGCAGACAAGACAGAAAGTTAAGATCGAGCAAGCATGGAAAACCATTAATTACCAGTGGAGAAGACGGTAGAGAAAATGCGCTGGTCGAAGGGGCAAGACGCCAGGTCCCAGATCTCATTGGGATGAGAAAACAAACCTTCGCATATAAGCTCGGATCCACTCGATGAAATCCGAATCAAATGCACCTAATAGACTTGAATTGCTTCAGATCCATGTCAAAAACAAATAAAACAATCATGCGACAAAATAAATCAGAGAAATTGAGCGTAACCTCATTTTCGTCTTTGAGACTGAGAGTGCCTGTGATGAAACTGGTATGATCAGTATCTGCTATGACATCGGCGATGCACCGAGCCTGGAGTAGAGCAGAATTTCGAGAATGTGAATTAGGGTTTAAGCTTAAGGAGATCTATATGATTTCAATAACATGAAAAATTTTGACATCAGAAATTGAACAACATTGACCTGGTATTTCAGCCCGTAGCCGATGCCTGATGAACCACCTTGCATGGCGGAAGCGACAGACACCATAATCAACCACTCAACGACGATCAAATGGCTAAAACACTCGTGAAATTGTAGGCAGGAGCCGCGTCCTAATGGTTCATGTCCGGTTTTGCCGATTTTTCTTCCCCCACTTTTTTTTATTTTTTATTTCGGTAAAATTCTCCATATATATATATATATATATATATATATATATATATATATATTTAAATATTCATTTCAAATAAATTTTTAACAAAATATTAAACATAAAAATTCAAATTTTAATAATATGATATAGTATACTTTAAAATATATATATTTAATGAGTAAATAAATAAATTATTATATTAATGCACAAAACTAACTTATTATATATATAAATTTAGATATAGATATATTTATATATAAAAGTGAGGCACGATGGAGATTAGCACTCCTTCATCATACCATAACATCCGACCGAACATATAGATAAAGGCCCGTTGAAACGGTGGTGCAGTTTAGGTAAGTTGGTTGGTGTCGAGAGTCTGGTAAAGCTAGATTAGAAGGGTTGTTATTGGGCGTTTTGAAAGAAAGAAAACGAGGGAATGATAGAAGTATTAAAACGCATATGTTCGAGAGCTCGAATTAAAGTACGAAGGGGTTTGAGAGTTGTTGGGGACAATGGACGCATGATTTATGTGCATAAGGGTAACATTTATGAGGTTGAGTTGTTGATTTGGGAAGGACCAAGACGAGTAGTAGGAATTATAAGAGTTGAAATTTGTTCCACTAGATTCGTAGAGTTGAGAACTACAGCTTTGTAGAAGGATTCGTGAAGAGATATCAATAAGGAAAATCGAGCGTGGGACACAAAGAGACCAGAAGCGTCCCTTGTTTCAAAGAGAAAAAGACGGGTTATTCACATTTCATTTGATGGTCATAAGCAAATTGAAAGATAAACCGTGGTAATTCTAAGGATTCTCGAGAGGAAAAATAGAGATGTCTCCTACGTTACCCGTAATATGTGGAAGCATCGACGTAATTTCATAGAGTCATTCGGTTTGAATGCTACATGAAGAACATAAGTCAGATGAAGGAACAGGAAAACCTAGGATGTAGAAGATCATAACATGAGTGATATATATCCACTTATACGATACTTCATTGGACGATATATATAAGATCCATATGTATAGATATCATCATCTAAATCCAGAAAGTCGTATGTTTTGGAAGAAGCTTGTACAGTTTGGGAAAGGGTATTGATCGAAAAGAAAAGAAGAATCTACTTGAACCAATTTGCCCTTAGGCACGACGAGACATAACATAGAAATCACACTTGGAAACTAATTGCAAAAGAGGGGAAACCGGCCACATTAAAATTACCTTCTGGGAGATATCAAAAAATTGCTCAGCAACAATCGGACAAGTGTGGAATTCTAGAGTAAACCAGAAAAGTTCGGGTAGAGGCAGATCTAAAGGTTGGCTAGATAAGCATCCTATAGTAAGAGGAGTAGTTATGAACCGTGTAGAAATTCTGCGGGGGATTGCGAGGTTAAAGATGCATGAGGTGCATGAACCTCACTCATGCATGTAACTGTGAGTGGTCAAGGTGCTTGGTGTGTGGATGGTGTGTATTGGCTCGTGGAAGCTCATGTCAAATCCCAGTTTGTCTCGTTCGATTGCTTTTGAATTAACGTAACTCGTAAATAATAAATTAACTAAATTAATTATTTATTAAAATTATTTTTGTTTTGATATGGAATGTAATTTTAATGTGGACAAGTTGGAGATAAGTGATGCGGTTTTTGGTTTGGTTCGTACATATCTATCACGTTCTGTTGCTATTCAGTTCACTCTTCCTCATAATGATTTCGCCCTTTGTTTGCCTCTGCAATGTTACCTTAAACGATCAATTTAATACTCAATTTTTTGGTTGGTTGTAGGGCCTCCATTTCATATTATTATCATTATCATAACCATTTTTTTTGTTTGGATTTGTTTGGATCTTTAAATTTATGGTTATGTCTAAGATTTGGAGTTTAGATTGGACACTTGATCTGAATCTTGGACATAGGTCGTTATAGATGGTATCAAAACAATACCTCTCTCATTAAGATGTGGTTCGGGAACAAATCAAGGTGGAAGTTAGTGGGCATGTGAGACTCATGTAAAACAGGGATAACACCACATTTGAATGAAAGTGATCTTGAGGATAGGATGACTAAGAAACACTTAAAATTTGAAAGTCAATGTCTATACTAACAATGTGCATATGAGACCCATATAAAATAGGAACTTCATAGCAAGGAGTAACTAACAAATATTGTTCGCTTTGGCCCATTACGTATTATCGCCAGTCTCCCAGTTTTAAAAACGTGTTTACGTATTATTCTCATTGGCACACTGCTCAATGTCCGACCCCACCGCTAGCAGATATTGTCCTCCTTGGCCCGTAGACACGTTTTAAAACCGTGAGATTGACGACAATACGTAACAAGCTAAAGTACACAATATCGACTAATGATGGGCTTAAGCTGTTACACAAGGGAATGTCGAAACCATCAAGTGTCGAATCTGAATTATGAATCCTAGACATGAGTCATTATAACTTCAGCCCAATAAACATAAAGAAGATCACTCGACTAATTTAGCATTTTATAGAAGTAGATAACAACGAAAAAAGGATTCAGTATTAACGTGAGATAGCTGCTCTTATTACCCACTTGCCTGATTCTAAACTCGTAATCCTTATTGTTCTCTCTATTAGAGCCCATAGCTCTAGCCATAAACTATAGCAATGTAGCAATCAAGTCGGTCTCATTCAAATTAGTTAAGTTATAAGCTCGATAACGAATTTAATAAATTAATATCGAATCTATCAAACTTTTATCTCCACAACCCTCCACAATCTTTTAAAAAACCCAACAAATTCCATCAAATCATATTCTTTTTAGAACGTGCATGAAAATCACCAAAATAAACGCCCACATGTTGCAGTCTTTACAGCAACAAACAGCCAAACACGCCTTAATCTTCCCCCTAACACACCCCATGTGCCCTTGATCTGTCCCTTCTCTACCTTCCACATGCCACCCTCGCCCCCTTCCCCATATATTTAACGCTCCCCAATCCAATCCCCACGTCAAAGCTCCGATCAGTATGGTGGGTGTTTTCCGGCGCTCTCTTTCTTTCCAGCTGGGCTCGGCCGCTGCCCGTCAGCCGAACCCCCGAATCTCCCGCCACCTCCGATCCATCAGTTTACCATGCAGATCCCACCCCTTGATCTCTTCCCTCAATGACAAGATCGCCAATCTCAAATCCTGGCCGTCCACCGACCACCGTAATGCCGCTTGGCTATGCAGTGGTCTCAACGCCGTGAAGCTCGTACATGACTATCTCGACGACATACTCCAACTCCCTCAATCACGCGAGTCAATATGTCGATTCTCGACATGGGTCGAAAATGTTCTAGAAGACTTCCTCCGATTCATCGATGCGTATGGAATCTTCCAAAGCCTTGTCCTCGCCTTCCGAGAGGAGCATGTGGCGGCACGTGTGGCCATGCGGAGAAAAAACGAGATGAAATTAGACATGTACAAGAAAGCCCGGAAACGAATGGGGAAAGAAACGACCAAATTGGGTTCGGTTGTTCGGGTTGTGACGGTGACGGAGGTTCCTGAGGAGGAGCTCGCGGTGGCGATTATGGACGTGATGGAGGTGACGGGGATGGTTTCAGTGGCGATGTTCGAGGGGATCGGGACGTCGTTGGGATGGAGACGGAATAGGTGGATGAAGAAGGGGAAGAAGGTGGCGAATGGGATATTGGAGTTCATGGAAGTGAGTAACAATGGCGATAATGAAGTGAAGGTGAGGATGGAGAAGATGAAGGATTTGGAGGAGTGGATTGGAAGCATTGAGAATGTGACTGAAAAGCTCTTAAGAACTTTGATGAACACTAGGGTTTCTATACTCAATGCTCTCTCGCATTAACTATTCTTTTTGTTACATACATATCATTTTTCTTACTATTATAAACAAAAGGGTATTTCAGTCTTTTTTGCCACGAAACGGGCTCGTCGGATAGACCTTTGTTGAAGTAGATAGCATTTTGTAACCTGAGCTACCTCTACCAACCTAAAGATAAGCTTCACTGGGACGTTTATGTCGATGCGAGCGTAAAGCGTCAAGTGAAAGCTACTCACTAATTTGTATACTAACTAGTTTGAATGTGCCACTGAGACATTATGACACGGGAAAAAATCAATTTCCTAAGCATGACATATGGGTAGTCATGTTTAAATTATTTTCATAAATGCTTATTTACAACGTTTTGAGGGAGTGCTGGTGACATTTGGCATCAAGTGATTTTGGTATATATTTAGCGGGGGCTTCAAAAATTTGATCAATCTAATCCAACCTAACCTAACCTAACCTAACCTAACCTTGTCTAGTTTGGGTTAAGTTGAGTTGGATTATGAACTTATTTCATTCCGGCGAGACTCCATAAGCCTCATTCCCATTCGATTAGTCTAGAATTTTCCTAATTATTTTGCAGCAAACATGTTTGATTACTACAATCGAAGGAGTCAACTTAGCTTAGATACCACTTGTCACAATCGCACTCTTGTGGTAGCGAGACAACAATTGTACAACATTTATTCTAACCGAGCGAGCAAGTCAACCATATGAAAGTTAGACTTTACAGACAATCTTGAAATATGATTGAGTCTTGGGTCACGTATGAGAGAAATATTTTAGAAAATTCAACCACAATTTTGATAGCATATAACCCAAATAGGATGATGTAACAACCCAAGCCCACCGTTAGTAGATGTTGTCCATTTTGACCCGTTATGTATCACCGTCAGCCTCACGATTTTAAAGCGTGTCTACTAGAGAGAGATTTTCACACCCTTATAAAGAATGGTTTGTTCCCTCCCCCCAACCGATGTGAGACCTCACAATCCACCCCCATTAGGGGCCTAGCGTGCTCGTTGGCATACTTCATGATGTCTGGTTCTGATACTATTTTTAACAACCCAAACTCACCGCTAGCAGATTTTGTCTACTTTTACCCGATTAGATCCCATATCGGTTAGGGAGGGGAACGAATAATATCTACTAGAGACATTTTAACCCTAGTAAGTGGAGACATGATTTTGATAA